GTGTGACATCTTTGCGTTACTGAGGAAGGAATTGCTAGATTTGGGGTCTAACTTCGAGGCGGTGTTACGCCATTTTTCAGTTAGTATTGTGTCGTTGGTATAGCCTGCGAAGGTACCTTGCTGGAGACGCTTATAAAGGCCTTTGTTCAGGTCATTAACGTAAAGACCGGTGTCGCGTTGTTTCAGCCAGAACACTTTATCGAACGGGGCATTGTCGGCCTTTTCAGTAAATGTTGCTGGGTTCTCACCTCGTGCGACAGATGTTGCTCCTTTGTCAGCTTTGTCATTACCATCAAGGCCTGTGTGCGATTTCACTTTCAGGAAGTGAACGGGTATGTTCTGTTGGGCGCATTCGTACAGTAGGTCGGCGATGTCCATTAGTAAGGCTTTGTGCTTGGAAATATGCAGTTTACTCGGATCGTTTACTGCTCTTTTGATAAGATCCAGTGAGGCTTGCGAGTCAGTGGCAATTGTTAAGGTGATGTTCACCGCCCTTTGGGTTGATAGAGCTACACGTATTGCTGCCAGCTCTGCCCGTTGAATGGTATTCGTACATCCTTCGCCCGCTGGGTCGATGTGCAGCGTTTTTCCGGTGGGTCCACAGTATGCAGCCGCACCCAGCTTGTTCTGGCCGTCGTTTTCAGCCGATTTAATACAGCTACCGTCGGTCCAGATGATAGTGTGTGGGTCCATCCTGAGTGGCACTTGTCCGGGAAAAGCTGCTGTCAGGCGCTGCTGGAGCGTCTGTTCGTCCGAGTGGGGGACTGTGGCGGTTGGTCTTGGTCTGGGCGGCTTTGAGGCATTCATCTTGCGCATGACCTGAGCGACTTTGTTTGGGTAGGGTCGTTGGGTGCCGACGCAGTGAGTACCCGCGGACATGTCCCGCAGTCGCAGATGTTTTCTGGGTAGGCCGGTGGCGTCCATTGCTTCGAGTTCGGATAGGAGCGCCTTCATGGATCGGGCGTTTAGTCCTCGGATCGCCGTGTCGTTGGCCACCACGACGAGGTCCAGGCCCCCCTTGTAGTCAGGGGTGGGGCCGTCAGTTCCAGTCCCGCTGGTAAGCTTGCACGCTTCACCGCGGCTCAGCCGCGCGAGCTGGAAGACATGCGGTGTGTTGTGTAGCTGCGTGTGGGGGCCAGTTCGGCTGTGCGGGACAATGAGTAGTGTGGCGGTGGGCAGTGCAGATGTCCTTGTGTGTGATGCGCCTGCGACTGCCCACATTACTGCCTTCTTGACACTGGTGGGGTCAGGGTTCGGGTGTGCTATCGAGAGGCCTGTAAATGGCTGAGAGAATGCATCTATGTTTGCCCCGAAGAGTTGGTCTTCTGCGTGGGCACTGAAGTAGTATTGCACCTCTTCACCGCAGTTAAGCGGGGATGAGAACCTTTCGACGACTGGGCCAGCATCCAGGGCGTGCAGGGCATCAATCAGCATGCAGCGCAGTTTTCTGCTCATGGTCGCCTGCGACCTTGGTGGGCCTTTCGATTCGCGCCCGTCGGGGTCCTTTCCATACCGCAGGAGAAGGTGCGCGACGTCCTCGGCGAAGCCGCCCTGGGAGGACAGGCTTCTGTGCACCTCCGGGTAAGTGTCGATCGTGTGTTGGTATCACATTCTGAGGGTCTCCAGGCGTTGCAGGGTGAGGGTGCCCACGCATTTCCCTCTTGGGTCGTAGACGAAGACCGTGTTCCCT